CACGCAGTATTGGATGGGGGTTCTTCCTCTCAAAGAACGTGTTTGCCCTTTGCATTTGGTCTGGAGCTAAGCCTTCTAAGAGCAATTAACCATACTGTAGTATTTTATAATTTTTGTTGAGTAAAAAGGTCCTCTTACAAATTGCTGTGGATTTAAAAGAATAGAGGCTTTCAGGAGAGGATGCCAAGCATTTCTGAATTTTCAGTGAGATACGTTAGCAGGGGCCCATCCAGGATACCTCTCAGAACAGTAAGGCCTCCGGCTCCACTAATTCAGATTTATGACTATTTAGATAAAGTCTCAGCTGAAGTTCAAGTTTGCATTATGTCTTATTGGCAACTGCACCATAAAAATACCTCAGAAATGTCAGCATTTTTGTGTCCACATCTGGAAGGCATACAAAATCCTGGGTCAGGCCCCGTGTCTTGATTCTTCGTTGAGGAAATAGTCATCTTATAGGCTTAGGCGAATTGATAATATAAGGTATTCATATTGATTGTTCTGATCTGGTGTACTAGTTTTAGATATTTTAAGGCAACTAAACCACATTTACAAATATTGGACCTTTATAAATACCTTACAAATACTACTGGAAGAGGGAGTGGGGACTTTTTACCTTTTTGTTGCCTAAGTACTTCTAAGTGGTTAAAAGAAGGTGTAATATGGAGTCAGACTTAATGTGTAACTTAAAATGTATGAAATAGTTCAGACCTTTTCCCACAGCTGTGGGTGGCCATAAAAGCAGGCTTATTTACTATAATGCACAAATAAGAACTCTAGGGTTTATAGGATCTTCTGTGTTCTAAATTCACATAGTTAAAAGATGGTTTCCAAGCTATGCAGATGTTTTCTCTTTGAATTGAACTGAAACAAAATTGGCCATCAGATTTTAAAGAAATAAATAACTTGTGTTGGTGTAATTAAAAAGTATGACATGCTTATTTGGGAAATATAGAAAAATATAAAGAAAAAAATCAAAGTTGAATTATCCAGAGACATTTATTATGATATATATGTGCCTGTCTGTCTATCTCATAGCCAAGATCATATAGCATTTAATTAAATATCCTACTTCTTTCATTTTACTGTTGTTGTTTACTTTCTCATTTTAAAATTATTCATATATATTTATATAACATTTTCTCTTAGTATTTCTATAGCATGGTTTAGCCAATTAAATAGCTATACTATTTTCTTTATTCCTCTACAGTTGAGCAGTTGTGTGTGGCACATCTTTTTCACTATTGTTATAATTATTACCACTTCTTTATTATGAACATACTGCACATCATTTCAATAAATCTATATCCAAATTCTCATCATTTCTATTAAGGCAAATTCTTTTTTTTTAAATTAAAAAAAAATTTTTTTTAATCCTCAGTGTGGGAGGGGGAGACAGAGAGAGCGGGGGGGGGGGGGGGGGAGAGAGAGAGACCTCGATGTGATAGAGTTACACTGACTGGTTGCCTCTCGCATGGTTTGAACCGGGGACAAACTGCAACCGAGGCACGTACCCATGCCAAGGAATTGAACACACAACTCATTGGTCCATGGGCTGACGCTCTTTAACTGCTGAGCCAAAATGGCCAGTGTGTTATTAAGGCAAATTCTTACAGTCAATGGATATAAGCACGTTCACACCCATTTAATTTTAAAATCAGCTTAATGAAACAGATTTGTTTTATTGGTTCTTGAATTTCAGCAAAAGCATGAGTTGAATCTGTTGATGAGTAAGTTACTCTGCTGTTAATCAGAAGTTCAATCTACTTGTTGGGTACTGTAATTTTGGACTTCCTGCCTCAGAAGGGACTTGGTTTGACCTTGTTTGACTTGTTTTAATTGCCAGAATATTACTCAGGACAGGATCCCATGAAGGCCATTATGCAAAACGGGGCTTACTTAAAAAAATAAATAATAAAAAAAAAGAGACATATTTAAATCATAAACTTTTTCTTGAAAATTTCAAGAGAAAATAAGAAATGACCTGGAAATCTGAAGGTATATTGTGTTTCATGATTTATGTACTCTTAGAAGGGGGGGTGGGGGGGAGACATATAAGCAAAAGACTTGCCAATTTACTTGAAGTGAATCTAACTCTACACATTGGCTTTAGCTCAGCGAATCACTGAGCATCAGTTCTACAGACAAGGCGGTCCATCGCTTTCTCTGAACAGTATGTTTGGAATCGTTCTGTTGCTGTAAAAATCTTTTCTTCATACAGCAACACTTCCGTTATCGAGTGCTGTTAGGAAAAACAGCTTTTCCTTAACAGCAAATGTCCCAAATGAGCCAAGGTTTTGCCAACACATTTTGAAGGCTTCCTCAAATATAGCATGATTCATGTCCCCACCTTCCTACCCAAATGATACAGAATGTAAGGTCGCTTTTATTGATGATCCAAGGTCTCTTTTTTAAGCAACAATCACTATTCAGTTAGCCCTTGGAGTCTATGTGTCCCTAAAGGTTACCGGATTATAGGTTTTTTTAAAGTTCTTTTAGTTGATACCAGATTTTCTGATATTTCCTGTTATTGTAAACATACCCACTTTTACTAGTTTTCTCCCTCCCTAGCTGTTATTGTTAATGTTGGCGAAAGTTCACTAGGATTCTGCTCAAACTGAAGCATCCTCTAGGAACCACCTCACGAGTAGAGCTTTGGTACATGGAATCTACGCAAATCTATTTGGGTTTATCAAGGTTCTGCTGACTTCCAGGCTTCTGACCATGTCAGAGAGTGACACTGTTAGTGTACCACAATCCTAATAACAGTAACAATCTCGGCTCAAACCGACTGATTGGCTGTGGCCTTTGACCTGGTTTTCTTGAGCTTACTCCTCTCTCTCCACATTAGCCATAGTCACCCTTTAAAAACGAAAAAGAAATTTCATTTCTCCAGTGGCTTCTTCATACTTAGAATAAATCCAGATATTGTCTTACCCTGGTCTGCATGGCCTGGCCCTGGGCCCTCACCGTGCCCACTTCTTTCCCTCCCCCCAACCCCACTTTTGCTCAGTTTAATTTCTTGTTTCTCCAGCAGGCAAGGGGCTCATCTCAGAGCTTGGGCACCTGCATTCCCTGCGGCGGCACCCTTCTCTGCTTGCCTTTCTCCCTCGTTGCATTCAGATCTCTTTTCACACTTCAGGTCCTCAGCCCTCCCAAGGGCATGCTGCACATTCAACACAGACTCCCTCGGCCCTCTTTATTCCCCTAGCCTGTTACAGCTTCTTTCTTTCTCTCCTCTTTAAAATATGTTTTTATTGACTTTAGAGAGAAGGGAGGAGACAGAAACATTGATTGGTTGCCTCCCGTAAGCACCCCGACTACGGACCACTGAACCCAGAACCCAGACATGTGCCCTGACGGGGAACTGAACAGACGACCTTTAGATGCATGGAACGACATGCAACCAACTGAGCCACACCAGCCAGGGCCTATTTTTTCTTCAGTACGTCTTGTCTTCAGAGTACCTCCGCCTGAAATGACCTTACACATGGGTTAATGTCTGTCACCTCTCCAAGAATGTAAACTTCATGAGAGCAGGGGTTTGCTTTATTCAGGAATGTATCTCTGAGTACAGACGATGCCCAGGGGCTCAATACATTTTTTTTTTTAAAGAATAAATACTATTTAATTTTTGAAATTTTGAAAGTTATTTAATTCTCCCGGTGGTCCCAGCAGGTAGAACCATGAAACAGCCCATTTCAAAGGCTGACTCTTAGGTTAAAATCTTGTCCAAAACCCATGGTCACCAAGCAGTGAAGGTGGGGAGCTGGCCTGTGTTCATGTTGATGAATATGTTATATTTTACATACGATCACTGAAACCACTTGGATACACTAAAAACACAGGTAGCAAACCTGCTGAGAACAAGTTGCATGGAAGAGAAAAAAGAAATGTTAGCGTGAAAGCTCTCATTATCCCCGAGGGGTGCGCTCATAGCTGACGGTGAGGCTCTTGGGGCTGAAGGGAAACAGGTCATGCAGCCAAATATGACCTAGTTATTCTAAACTGAGAGCCCTGAGGCCGCTGGGGAGGGGGGCCAGAAGCAAGTGTCCTGGCGTGCACGGGAGGCAGGAACCCAGGGGTGTGGGGCCCGCACAGCAGCTTGGCCCGCAGCCTGGGTCTCTGCAGTGATTTCCCGCAGGCAGCCCTCAAATGCCCTCATCAAAACCTATCAGTTCTAAGGTGAACACTACTTACCAGTAGTGTATTATCTGCCAAATATTCTTACAAGAAAGAAAAACAATAAAGGGCAACTGTAAAGAAAAGCAATGGGCAGACAGCATTAGATGTGGTACATGTGAAAACCGCCACCCACCTGCTCCGGCCAGGACGAACTGGTGGCCCAGCTGCAGAGACCGGTCAGCAGATGCCTCCAGCTGTCAGCTGCTGCGGGGCGGCCTCAGCTGCAGACCCACCATGCTGAAGCCACACCCACAGGCCTGAGAGGTGTAGGTAGAAAGGCCCGATGACTCAGGCCCAATCCAGGACACATCTAGGACAGTCAGGACAGAGATCGCCTCCGGGCTGGCTAGGGCTGTTGGCCTTGCATTATGGTTCTTTTCCTTCTACCTATTCCTGCTCCTTCGCCCTTTCCTTCCACAGGTGAGGATCCCTAATGACTGACTTGCCCTTCACACCCCTTGTACACCTGCTCCCACAGAGCCCAGTCTGTGATGTCAGTCAGTCACCGGCTAACAGTGTCTGAGTACTTCACGGGAACTGAGGAAGGCTCTGGTTCTCCCGAGATGAGCAAATCAGTCCCTCCCCTCATGGGGTCATCACCTGGTAAGGTGGCAGATGTTAAATAAAAATAAAAAATACATATTGTGCTAAGTGCCATTAGAATTTGTGGGAAAAGCATCACCCTCCCCCCTAATATCGACAACTGTTAGCGTACATGTAAAGTACAGTGTTTTCATGTTAACATAATGACAACACAGGCGCCATCTCAGAATTCACTCTACTATCAAATAACACTGTAACAAAGTTGTCAGTGTAGCAAAATCTTGTCGACTTTATTTAATCAACTCTGCAATCGAAGACTACCACCCAGTTACTTATTAGTGTCCTTATCAAACTAGATCACTGATAAAATAGTAAGATCTTTGGGTACTAAGAAGGAAAACAGCAAGTTTGCAGGGACCTGTGGGGTCTACCTGTCCATCACCCACCATTCCTGTACCAGCACCTCGGTGTCCTGTGGTGACCTGTCCCCTCTCCTACTTTAGGTTCTTGTGGTTTACGTGAGGGGAGGTCACCCATATCGGAGTCAACGGGAGCTTTTTCCATCCCGGTCCAGGAGTGGGAACACAGTCCCCGGCGACCACCGACAGGAGCCCCAGACTTCGCTGAGCCATCAGGCCAGAAGCTCGTGTCCAGTGGAGTCAGTCGCAGGACAGCCTTCAGCTTCCGGTGGCCACCAGCCTGAGAAGGGAGCGACGAGCCCCTGCAAACTGGCTTCACAGAAAGCTTACGATTACAACGGGACCACCCGATGAGAAGATTGCAAACAACAGGGTCTGATCACTGGCAGAGGTGCTGCTGTAGTTCCTCTTTGAGAAGAAAGGCACGCCCACCCAGGGTCTCCAGAACCTCCTTTCTAGTCTACTTTGTTCTAGGAAGTAGCCAACGAAGAAGCACTGTGAGTGGTCCTGTGACCAAAACTGTCCATTATTCTTGACATTGAAAACCGAATGCAATCATTAAAGAATTAATACATGACCATTTATAGGATATATTTAGAGTCCTGTGGATTCCAGTGATTAGCTTTTAGTCATGCCTGGCAAGGAACAGAACACAGTGGCCGAGAAGCACATGTTCTCGTAAAACACACGTGGTCCTCTCAGGATGACTAACATGAAGGACTTCTGTACAACATAGTTTTCTGCGGAGAAAAGAAACTTAGTTTCTAAAGAGCATTCGCTTCGGACACCTCAATCCCTGACTTCAGGGGCTGCACACTCTGTACCTCTGTGCCACACTTAGGACAGGTGAAGCACATGTCAAACAAGAAACTGCTCTTTGCACAGTAATAACAGAAGACGTGCGCACAGCCTATCGTGTGGGGCATGGTGGGCCACTCCCCGCACAGAGAACACTGCTTGCCGCAGCTGGCTAACGAACTGTCACCATTACGAGCGCCGGTGAGAGGGATGCACCATGAAGACAACTTGGCCTTCAATTTGTGGACATTGATGAGTGGTAAGAGAAAAATGAGAAACTCTGCAAAGCCGTGCCAGAGCAGCTCCCTGTTCATATACTCAAAGCCGACCTCGCGCATGTTCTGGGGCTTGCAGAACACAGAACGAATGCCCAGCAGACGTTCCGTCAAAGTCGCAAACTTGCCGTTCTGGAGGAAAATCAAGAAGTTAATCAGCCGCCCTAACTGCAAAAGTCCAACCACGAAGTTCATGCACCGTTTGGCTTTCCCGAATGAGGTGAGGTGGTGGTTTCGAAACAAATCGTAGCAGCGTTCTTCTAACCACTTGCCACCAATGGTACAGACAGCATACCAGAGCTTCTGGTTTCGACTTGGGGGCTGGTATCTCAGGGTCGTGGCGAAGTTGTTTCTGTACTGAATATTCAAAACTGACTGCCCCACGGTGGCGTTCTTGGAGTACACAGTGAATCGCCACAAGAAGAGCCACAGGAGGGCTTTCAGCTCGGGTTCAAAGTGGGCGAGCAGCCCTGGCTGAAATCCATGAAAGCACTGAGTGACCTGGGACCACACCAGCTGCTCCAGGTCCTTGTTCAGTTCAAGTGCATCCAGCTGACTTATTCTGAGCACCCTGTGTGTGCTCTTCGCCTTCTCTTCTCTGGGGGCCATGTCTTCTCCACAGGGCTCTAGGAAAAAGTGCGATTAGGAAACATCGTGAGATAGTGGCGACCTTGTACCATCTCTGCAACTGACACCGGGAAAACTGGGATACACAAAAGACAGGACACGCGGAGAGTGGGCCTTTGCACGGGCCCAGACAGCACACTGAGCAGTCACGTCTCGCTCAGAACTCCTTTCTCTTTCTCCTTGCTTGTCCTCCCCTCTACTTTCTTTCCTGGTTTTCTTTTCCCCTTTGGCTCTCCTCATCAAAGGAAAAACCAGTTTCAGCAAGCTGTATCCTATGGCCGCAAACACATCTCTGTGTGATCCTCCGTGCCTAGATAGTTTAGCAGGAAGATGTTAAAATCCTGAGGCTGGCCCTGGCCGGTTTGGCTCAGCAGTTAGAACGACAGCCTGCAGACCAGAAAGTCCTGGGTTCGGTTCCCGCGGAGGGCACGTACCTCGGTTGCAGTTTGTCCTTGGCCCCGGTTGGGGTCGTGTGGGTGGCAGCCACTCAATATGATTCCCTCACGTCGATGTCTCTCTCTCTCTCCCTCCTGCTCTATCTGAAGATAAATGCAAAAAATATGTCCTTGGGTGAGGATAAAAAACATGCTGAAGCTAACAGTGCTGAGGCTGAGTGATAACATGGCTAATGGCGAAACACACACACTTAATAAACACAAGGAATGACAGGGAACACTGCAGCGAATGGAACACAAGACCTCAGTTTAATGTTCAAGCACTTCATCTGACTCCGAAGGTATACTTTTCAACAAGTCATTTAATCTCCTACATATTTGAAAAGGAGGGTAGAAGAAAAAAAATAATGAACAATAAGTATTCATTGTTCTAGCACACAATTGCAGAAAATAAATACTAGTACAAAGCAACATGAACACAGAAATGTCGTTATTAAGGTTCAAAAAAGCTATACATCATACACTTTCTAAGAAAAGAAAACGATGATGCAAAAATGTATCCTAAGATCAGTTCACAAGTACACTGAAGGGACACATCGGTGCTTAAGGGACACACAGCTTCTACAATAAAGTAGAGAGAGCTGGTTAAATGGTTGGCTTGGTGGACTGACTGATTCTAAATGCATTTATTACATGCCTGTTATGCACAAGCCAGTGGCAAGCAGTGGCAGTTGTGGAAGTAGAGTACAGACCAGTTAGATGTACATTTTATCAATGAGCTGGCAAATTCAAAGTATGATACAAAATCTGTTGAACTTTAGTTTCTGAACGGTCCCCATACACAGAGCACTTGCTCGTGACCCCACAGGCCTTCAAAAGGTCCGATGCACCAGCAGAAAGAACAGCAAGTCACAGGGGCAGGGACCCACTGACGTTTACTGCCACCCCGGCCGTGTGACCTTGGACCAGCCACTTCAGCCAACCTCTGCCTTGGTTTCTTCACTTACAGAATAAGGGATGGAGACAAAATGACCTCCAAGTCCATTTAAATTCTATTACTTTATGATTTTTATCAAAAAGAGATTAAATGTTATTTGTCAGAAGTTAAAAGTGTATCCAAAAGAAAAGCTCTACGTCTTAAAATTGGACTTTCTCCACAATCAGAGCATTTTTCAAGGAGGGAGATTTTGAATTACCCAAGGATCCTGGTGACTGAGAAGCAGGAAGTTCAAGGACAGGAAACAAACGTGACTACTACATACGAGGCTATTCAGTGCTCTTTTCCTCTCAACCAGACCTCTGACAGGAATACTTCTCACCATTCTGGGTGACCTCACCTGCCCCCCTTCCTGGAGCTCCGTCAGACTTCTAAGCTGATAGCAGTGGGGACCAGCTGCAAGTTCTTCTGTGAAATCTGTGCCTCATACTGGTCAGGGACTACCGAAGAGAAAGAAGGGTTCAGGAAAGAGTTCTTTTTGCTCCTCTACAAACCAAATTCACCCTCAGGGCCTGTTCTTTGTCCAAAACATTTTCCGAATCCATTCCTTACTCTACCCCCACAAGCCTTGCCCTAAATTCTGCGGCTCTCGTCTGCCCTGAATCCAACAGGTGTATCCTACCTTCTGACTCCTTCAGTGCATTGCCCACACTGCGATCCTTCAAACACAAGCCCCCCCCATCCTGCTCCCGCATCTTGCCTTCCTAATGCTCTGACCTCTAGTATAGAGTGCCCCTTCTTTGCTCACTAGGGGACATTTTAACACCCAGTCCCTTCGTCGGGATCAGTATGTTCCCATTCTTTAACTGAACAACTCATCCTAAATTCTTAAGTACTAAGTTAGGATCACTTCCTCCTGACTCTTCCAGTATCGGTTAGCTGCTTCCTCCAGGTCTTCTCCTCTATCTAGACCTCTCTGTACTGTACATATACTACTTTTTGATGGTCGATTTCCTCCACTAGAAGATAAGCCCTGTTGCAAAGATTATTTGAGTCTTGTCACTGTGGAATCTTAGCAACTAGTACAGCGCCTGGCACGTACAACACATTCTACAAATACCAAATGAATGGATCAATGGACAGAAATAAGTCTGGGGTGAGCAAAAAGTAGAAAATACAAATTCCCATCTATTGAAACTGTTGGGTGTGCACCTGCTTCTTAGCAGTTAATGTGTGGGAGCTGGTGAGAGAATGGCAGACAGACACCCTCCACCCCTGTGGAGACTACTGTAGGGCGGTGACGGAGGGGTAAGAGTGTGCTATGTTAAATGTCAAACAGACAATGACAAGACGGTGTCATAAGTGACGTGCGAGGGGAATTCAGGTCACATGCTTACGACCAGAAGGGTCTTCATGGAGAGGCCAGACCTACGTGAAGAGTAAGTGGTGTCGGGCCAGTAAAGGAAGGTAAGGACACTGGTCCAGGTGGAGGGAAGAGCAGGTGACTAGGACTGAAGGTCCAAGGACAGATGGTAAGTCTGGGAAAGAAAGCATGAGACTCATCCTAAAGGCCCTAAAAGCCATGTGCAGGAGGCTGTGTTTTAATGAGATGGTCATGGAAGCCACTAAAGAGTAGTAAGAAAAGAATAAATTCTGCATTTTACACAGCTTGTTCTGGCCACACTCACAATGGATTTGGGGCTGAAAGACCAGTTAAGGTGATTGTTAAAATGGTCTGGTGAGAAACTAATGATGGTCTAAACTGGAAAGGTATCAGGGGCATGGAGAGAAACAGGTACCTCTGAAAGCTAGGAAGGGGTAGAACTGACAAGATTTCATGAGACATAGGCCAAGAATCACAGACTTGAGTAACTGAGTGGGTCAGACCGGTTCTCTGAAATGGGAGACCACACAGAAACACAGGTTTGAAGAGAGAGATAAAAGCCACGCGTCCTTTTGGAGACCGGGGCCTCTGTGACAGCTGAGTGGAAGAGGTCAGCAGGCAGTCACGTGGACCGGGAGAAAACAGCCGGGCGGGATGCTGAGCTTGGGGGCATTCCCACTGGACTAGTCTATTTTAATTCTAGCTAAGTGCTCAAGTCAGGAAGGCAGTGATCTACACAAGACATGTGGATCTTGTCCACTTACAACACATTTAACTTTCTTTGTAACAACATAATCTTCTTTTCCTAGGTTAGCTACTATGGTATTTCACTGGTTATGTTCACGGATACCACACATCTTCAGGCTTTCAATCTTTCTATGCTGTGTTCAACTGCGCAGTCCTGCACGCTCCTGTTCTAGTCTAGTCTAGTGACAAATTTGAGCATTTGTCAGAATCACTAGGACTTGTTAGACTGTAGGGACTCAATTCCAGAGTTGTTGGTTCCAGAGGCCTAGAAGGGGAGCTAAAATCTGCATTTCTAACAAGATCCCTGGTGATGCTGAGAATTATGGGCTAGTCCACTTCAAAGCACAATTCATAAATCCGTTGGCATATCTATCACCCATACAGCTCAATGCTGTGTGCCAGCCGCCCACTCATTCCTGGTTCCTTCTCATCCCTGTATCCAGAAAGGCTATTCAATTGTGCGGACTAGGGCGTTCCCTTCCTTCTGTGAGGTTCGAGACCAGTTAGGCTGCCACAAACTCTACGCACATCAATGCACCCTAGCCCTCCCTGCGAGGTCCTGGCTCGCTGAAGGAACCCAGCCAAGGTGATCGTGGACAACCAGGGCAACAACAGAGGAAGATGGTACCACAGGTACTCAAAGCCGCAGAGAATTTCAAAGACACAAAAATAATTTCAAAGTTCACACACAAAAATCTTATCAATGGATAAGATATTTGTTCTTACTTTTTTCTGCAGTTCACAAGTTTTCTCCAATTAACTTATTTCATTTATGTAACCAAGACAAAAACAAAAACATTAAAAAACCTCGTAAGCAAACCAAAATCTACAAAACCATTTCCCTCACACTTAGCATACTGCCTTTCATACATCCAATTACTCCGGGGATAAAGTACAAACTTCTCAGACCCATCCTGGCCCAGGTCTGTCCCCACCCCTGCGTGGCCACCATCCCCAGTGGAGCCCTGAAGCAGACCATTCTTCAGTCCTGCCTCTGCCCTTTCTCATGCACCTGACACCGCCTTCCCTCCCAATGGCCCCAGGGCCCTCCACAACTGTCTCCCTTCACATCCAACTCTAGTTCAAGATTCTCCACAAAATTCACAGCTCTTCCCCACTCCCAGCGCCACCATCTTTAACTGCGACGGCCACTGTCTGTGATGCCCACAGGAGCCCTCAACCACCTATACTGTGATTTCAGGCACATGGGCACACTTTTTCCTAACTTGACTATAAACTGGTTAAGGGAAGAGCCTTACCTTACACTCCTTTCCCAAAGCCCCTGCCACTGACAGTGACTTTAGACTTAGCTCAGTTTTTGTCATGCAAAATTCTGCAATCATTCATGCTACATGGGAATAGGGTATGTATAACTCATCTATTGCAGCACAGTGTCTACAATACAGAGTTCACACTCTGTGGTCAGCAAGATAAGGGAAGCTTTCTGATCGTCAGTGCTCCAGAAGCTCTGACCGTCCTGGACATTGATATTAAGTCCAACACCACCATTCCTGCCCTTCTCCCCCACCCCCTTGCTGAACTGGAAGGACTGGTTTTTGTTTGTTCTTTCAGTTGAATTACCAGACAAAATATAAGGCTAATATTAGGCCAGTTGTGCTGATTTATACATCTTTAAATACCAGAGTCACAATCAGTTTCAGATTGCGGCTGATGAATATCTCACTATCTAACAGGATTTAACACAGAGACAGGCTGGGCTCATAGCAGCTGCTCAGCAACGTGTGGTGAACAAACACGCAGTGGAACGAGTGGTCGGTGGCTCCACGATGTGCCGAGGGAACACCGAGCGCGCGAGATGGACGGAGGTGGGGATGCTGTCTTCTCCTCCGGCTCCTTACTTGTGCTTAGTGAGAAACTGGTCAGAGAGAGTGGTCTGTCAGGAGTCACTGATTTCAAACCCTTCTCTCTGGAGGAATCATACTTAAGAACATTTAGTAAAGACAGGAATTTCTGATAGCTAAAAACCATACTTACCACACTCTCTAACCAAACTTATTATCAAAAAATTCTTTCTTATCCCTCCCATTACAGTGTAACATTTTTTCCCTTTCTTTCCCCAGGCCTGGCCTCAGTGCAATTAAGGACAGCTGGGCCCGACCTCCCGGCTCCGTCCGACTTCGCCAGACCGGCAGACTATTACTGAACCCATCTTCAGCCTTCCCTCTTCCAGAAGAATAAGCTGTTTCTTTATTTTTTGTCCCAGGCTTTCTTTTCCAACACTGTAGTCATTTTGTGTGCCATCCTTTAGTGGTAGACAGAACAGACACGTCCATCACACCGACCACTACACACCGCAGTCGGTGCAAGCGGAACACACAGCCTACGCTCTGCATGCCTGCCAAGCGACAGCCGAAGTCACAAAGGCGGATTTAAAACCAATCAGACCTGGGCTCGAGTTCTAGCTTTGTCATTGACTCGCCATGCGATCTGAAGAAAGTCTGTGGCCTCAGATTCTTCAAAAGGTTGGAAATACCAGCTACCTCCCCACACTGTTGAGGTTAAACCAGCTAACGTTCTGAAAGTGGTTTGGAAATGAAGAGAGGCATTATCATCATATTATTTCTACTTTGCCTGGGGATGGGCCTAAGAAGAAAAAGACACTGAGTTCGTTTTGGCAAATCTCATTTCAAAAGGCTGAAACCTTCATTATTACCCACGTCTGAACGTTCCAGTCCGGGAGAAGTACAGGCCACCCTACTGAAGCCCAGTGTGGCCGTCACACGGACAGCGTGAAGGCACCAGCAGTGGGGCCCGCCGGGAAGGGCAGACTCACGGGCACCGCACTCTTAACTGGCATCTGGTCTGGAAGGAGATGATAAAGGGGGGATTCTGAGAGAGTGGGATGGGCCCCCCTAGCACTGAACGCCCATCAGCATGGCTGGGTCTTTACCGGGAAGCAAAGAAACCTCAGGCTCCTGCACAGATCACCTCCGACTCCAGGGAGCTGTGCTGCCCTGGGCATGGTACAGACAGCCTAGGACGAGCGTCCAGCCTTGTTCAGCACCAGCACACTATTCCTCTTCCTCTCCTCTCCTCTCTCCTCTTCCTGGCAGATGCTGTTATTCTAGCACACTGGCTGCACAGAAGGGTAGTGCCCAGGAGCAGGAGAAATGCATGAAATAGAAATAACTACAAGTTCAGGTCATCTGATCATGGAAGCTCTTCCCTCCACGGCTGCACAGTAGTTGCCCACGAGGTTGTGGAATACAGAAAAAATGCCATGTTACATAAAGTTCTTCTCAGTCTACATTTTAGTGAATTCTAATTCTCTAGCAAACTGCTACTTAATTTAACTAACAGCTACTGAGTGCCTACTAAATGCCAGCCATTCTCCTAGGTAACAGACTT